CAAGGGTGTAAAATGTAATGTTACGGAAGTAAACGTACATACGATGATTGGGGGATCAATAAATCGCCAAATAATTAACAACAAAATCATCGGTATCACCACTGATTAACCACTTCTGAGTAATCATTAGTGAGTGGTCAATGAATAAGACAATTTTCGGTAATGTTTTATTAAACGCAAAACATTTGTTCCCCTTCATCCATTTCGTCAAAGCAGAAAGAAGACATAGGTTGCGATATGTCAACATTTCGATTGCTCTCATCAGTCGCAAACACAATACAAGCAGAAACACAGACACATTTATATACATGGGAAAATATTGGCACACCAATGAAACTGTCAAAATCAAGACCAGTCGGTTGGCTCAGAGGGTAGCTGAGCACTTGCCAAAGTGGGTTGAACAAATGATAGCGCAACAGAACGGAACGCCCCACAGAACGAATCGGAGTCCGTCATCATCTATCGCCAAACACCTCTTGACAACTGGTCACTATGTGAACCCCACTAATGCGTTCAAGGTGTTATTACGTAACAGGAACCCGATAAGGTTGGCAATCAGTGAGTCGTTGCTAATTAGCGCTTATCAACCTGTGTTATGTGCACAAAAACTCTTGAGGCAATCAATCAGATTGCCTTGGTCTTGATTTTGACAGTTTCATTGGTGTGCCAATATTTTCTCATGTATATAAATGTGTCTGTGTTTCTGCTTGTATTGTGTTTGCGACTGATGAGAGCAATCGAAATGTTGACATATCGCAACCTATGTCTTCTTTCTGCTTTGACGAAATGTTTTATTACCTAAATAGGTATACAAGCCCACAAAGCAGCGCAGCTAGATGACGTCTCTATCAGCTCGCTCCTCGATAGTTGTTCTTTTCATTCAGTCAGCCGTTCGCCTAGTCGAATTACAAAGCTGAGTGAACACTAAGGTGGGAGCATAGGTCAGCCGACCACGTGAAGAAGCGACCGAATGTGAAACAAGAATAAGTTACGATGCACGTAATATATATATATATATATATATATAATTGTACAAAGCTGATGATGCCATCACTGGTGTGTCCCGTGTATACCCGATAATATATCATTTAGTTATTTATAAACAGGCGACTAGTGTTCAGGACGTATCGATACAGAGTGGTGGTTGGAAGCTGTCATCCATCGCGGACTTGGAATGGATGGTTGAAACGGATGAAAAAACACTGACATCCGTTCATGTTTGATTAGAGATCACACACCAAGACACGGAACAGAATGAACTTGGGGCACGACTTACGATGTCCATTAGCCAAAACCGCACCAAATATACCATAATTGTTGGAACTAAGCAATACCAACCGTCTCATTAACGTACATCACCTCTCGATTTAGTAAAACTTGCTCAAAAATAGGTATTCTCCTAGTTTAAGTGATAGAACGTTATTAAGAGTATTCATTGCCTGTAATTAAAAGCAAAAAGTGCAATAGCCACTAGTTAATTAGTTTTTAAAACTAAAATTCTTTTGGATAAGTGTTTATAGTGAATCCACTTTGTGGATAACAACCTCAAAAAGGTTGAGAACCAATGCCCTAGACAGAGCAAAAGTGGGATGGACGGAACGAAGCCGATGAACAACCCTGCGGGTCAATGAGCACATAACACGTGACAATGAGAAACAATCGGTGAAAAGCAGTTGCAAGTGAACAGTATTGCAAAGGTTGATACTGTATACATGATTCCAGGTCTCATGCCAGCCCACCGACTCCCGCGACGACCGTCGTTTGCACGCCGGCGGTACGGATGGACCAAGAGGAGGGGTGGCCCAGCGATGACTTGATCGAGAGGAATGAAGGCCTTCATTTCGTAGCTGGCCCCGGTTGGAGCGATGTGGCTCCCTGGTTGGGGTCTGAAAGACGATGAACACGTTTGGCTGGATACATTTGTTGACATGGCTAGGAGCCGATGTCAATGGCGTTCCTGCTGTGAATTCCTTTCTCCCATCCCATTCCTCTTATCCTCCCCCTCCAACCATGATCTCACTTCTTAGCCCTATACAATTTTGCATAGTAAATATTTTTCGTTGCATAATAGCCGGCTGCTAGCTTTCCGTAACGATGCCAATCCGTTATTGGTAGCTCAGCTGACTTAGGTCTATTGCAGTTCCCCCCTTTTTATGTGTTGCGACACAGTAACTGAGGTGTTTCCTACCTCTAGATAACGTGTAGAATGGTGATGATGATAAGGTCTCATGCGTAACAGACTTTGTCTTGACTCTCGGAAGGCTACACGACAATCACCGGGTCTCAGGAGGCGCGGCGGGTCCTTAGAAGAGAAAGTAGTTTCTTTCGCATGCTCTTCTATGGTTGATAGTACCAGGGACTAACGTGAACAATAGAATCAAAGGCAATTTTCGAGATAAAGAAAACTGTGTGAGCACCATCATATAAATTTAGAGGGAAGAATCCATCTCAACGGAACGAGAACAAAGATGAAAGGTGAGACTAAAGTAGGATAAAGTTGTTTAGAAAACATTTAGGATCAGCGCGCCTGTCACTTGCCTACAGTATAAGATTTCGAACCTGTTTGTTCTCATTGTGTAATGTGGTTTTCCGGTGGACAAAACCCAATATCCACGTGATGAAGGTATGATTCCAAAGATTGAACAGTGAAACGCACGCTTTACTGAGAATCGTAGTCTACATTAAGATTACGCGTCTCAATCCATTCCCACAAGCAGTGATTCAAAATGGCACTTCAATAGACGAGGTGTCTCTCACCTCCAGGTATGAGGATGTTGTGGATGGGTTTACGCGAACCGACATAATAATGTGCACAGCTCAGAGCTACTAAAAAACGTGCAGACGTGCGGATTCCTACGGCCGGAAAGACCAGTACTTGCTACCATGAAGGGAAACAAGTTACATTATGATTTTGTACACAAGGGCGTTAAGCAACCAGGTTTTTAGGAACGCTTAGCCAATACGTAGTAAAGCAGGCGTCCTTATCCGCTGAAGGACTGCAACTGGTTGTAGCGTAGCAGGGCAACGTGTGCTAGCCTTATTGGATGCAGTTAAACGGGTTGAACACAGACGGCTGTCCGCATTATTCCAGTTATGCATCGAATATTCAGCGCTAAAACCGAAAAGTACGTTCGTTCTAGTTTGGCTTCTGGTCGGTGTATTAGGATTTTCTGGTACGTGCACCCAACAAAAAGAGAACAGGTGCAGTTTATCAATTAACCGAATGACTGTCGTGAATTTCGAGTTGGGAAACCCTAAACAATTCAACACCTAGGTTAAACGGTGCGCAGTCCATTCTTGCTCATAGGTGATATGAGATGTAAGTGTTAAAAGCAAGTAAGATAGAAGGGGCGATTTACACGATGCGATATTTGCGGTGTTCGTAAATCTTTGGGTAAAGATGGAGATTTTACCTGGTTAGGTATTCGGATATCTGGAACAGACTACTCGCTGAAATGCAACTACGTAGGTCTAGAAATTTGGGAAGAAAGGTTCCCGCAGTATGTAAGTTAAAACAATGGTGAAACTAGACTGTAGAACAAGAACAAGTTATGAAGAGTGGGGCTAAGTACAAAGACACAGGAAAAAACAACAAACGATCAGCTGAGAAAACTGTCCGAATGGTATCCGTTTTTTCTCATTTTCGGTGAACTCGGAGCATCCAAAATAAAAACGTGTAGCTCAATGAGACAGCTAAATAGAAAACACCAACCTAAGTTCTGAAAAGAAAACCAATCAGTTCTCTTTAAATTCGATCAATTCCAAATTAAGTTATCTTTCGACCGACCACGCCAACGTGACAGTTCCTACTTTCAAGTGAGTTCTCAAAGAAAAGCCAACCGGTTCCCCATCCTAGCATTGCTTCATCTTTCGCCCGACCAAGCACAAGCTGCAAATGGATTCTCTAAAAGAAAACTTCAGCGTAGTCCATTTAGCCCCAACACTAACCAATGCACGATTTGTGGCATTACGGAGAACTGAGATAGAGGAAAAAATTCGAAATTTCTCTCAACATTCTTCAGGCAGCTGCTCCTTTCTCTGTGCTCTCAACAACGTCAGCCTAATTTTTACACTCTTAGATGCGGGTTGAAAAGTTTTATCCCTTTTAACGTGCTACACATTTCATCCTGATCTGCGCACATTTTCTCAACCTACTAGGATACTCAAGCCGGAAAATTCAAGGTCTAAATGGAAGTACAATAGGATATGAGCTGAGTGGTTCATTTTCTCTGTCAGCCTAGTCTCATTTCACAGCTTATGGGGTTCGTGGTACGCACAAATGAGTTAAAATTTGTTCTTTATTCTGCTAAAAGCCTAAATCTGTGCTATATTGCTCGTTTCATTTGGTTGACGCTTCCCAATTCTTCGCCGTTCATGACCTTATCATCATTACAGTCCCCGTCATTTATGGCGATGGCTCTATAGACCGTACTAAGGATCTGATGGAAGATTAAGACGAACGACGCAAAAGGAGAGCCACATAAAAAACGCTTCATGTACATCCTTGTATATGCCCCAAACTTGGATACTTTTTGCATACATGAGTATGCTACCGATGTACATATGATCCATTCACTTTGTGAACACGGTTTCTGAGTACTCTGAAACGTACAATTCACAATGTACGAAAATGCGTTAGAGCCGTACCGGCATGTCGGACAAGTTGTGATTGCATGCGGGAGGAGGAGCTACAGCCAGAACACTAGCTCCATGGGTAACAGAGCGTTAATGGGCTCTAAATGGGGCACCTGGCTAAAGTGACTGAACTACTTCCAATCTTTACGTTATTAGCTGATACTGCAGTGGCCGAAAGAACAGAGAACATACACGTTCTAGCTATAAGTAGTGGTTTGGAAGAAAAGGCCCCAAAAGTAAAGCAGGTAGACCAGTTTTGCCCTAAATTTGATCAACATCTGGTAAGGAATACCGTCCATAGAAGCGCGAATGGTGTGTTCGTGCACGCATGAGTCGGAGGTCATGCTATGATCACGTGAACTTACCGTACGCAACGAGTGCAATGGATGCATCGATTCATTATGGTCTTGATCAGTGGACCAAGGTTTTTGTCTTCAACAGCTCTAGAAAGAGAAACACAGGTGAGGAAGCAGACAGGTCAAGTGGTTGGAGCAATTTCTAAATGACTGCATATGAAATTGACTGGGTTACACCCCTTCGGATAATTGCAGTAAGGTGGGAAATAACATGGCCGCGGGGCTGTGCGATAGCCAACTGAATACAAAGGAATGAACGGAAAATAAACACCACTTATTGATTGCACCAGACCGGAGAGCGCATCTGGGCATCACGAAGGTCGATTGCGAGAAATGCATCGAATTTGCCAACAAGTAACAAGACAGGACACGTTTCCCTCAGGCTACAAAGCAAATATAGCATGCCGCAGACTAACCAGACTAATTCCAGTACGAGAGAGCAGTAGATCAAATTACAACACTGGGTAGGATTGATAATAAAAAGTAGGGGAGGTAGAATAAAAGAAGTGAAAAACGCATGGAAATAAGCAAAAACAAAAGCTGAAAGCAGGTCATCAGGATGGTAATCAGCGACACGCAAGAAACAGGTGAGGGTGCGAATCACGGGATAAGCCAGGACGAGTAATGTGGGCAGCCGAAGTTGCGGATCGTACAGGAAACCAGAGGATGAAAAGTGATGCGTCCAAACCGATAAAGTATAAAGGTTACTTCCTCAATGCCTGTCAGAAGAGGCCAATTAGCACCTACGTCCCACTGAGCGCAGCGCCCGCCGCCATGCCTAATAAAGGAGAAACCGAAAGAGCTTATTAAGCTAGTGTCGAGGGTTCAAATACATCGCTTGGTCAGGTATTGTAGTACACGGTTCGTTGCTAAAACCAACAGACGGGCATTTCCAAGGCTCTCTCGGCCAGAGCACAAGTCATGATCAATGCTTCGCAAGTACTAGTGACAGAAGGTACCCGGTCATTTGACATCCTCAATACCCCGTGGCTATGTCAGCGACAAACGCAGTAACACCGGGCGCGCTGCGATTCTACATGCCCTATATTTGATCGATAAGCTCGTATTCCGTAATCTGAAGTGTTGAGAAGTCGCACACACCTTACAGCTACGTGAGGTAATCACCGTTCGCACCCGGCTGCCAAAATGGATACAACCACTTGGATATGCAAACCGATCAGTCACTACGAATGCTTCTTAAGTGATGGTGGGTATCGGTCGAGTGTCTTCCCGATACCAGGCTAGAACCTTGCACTCTGGGTGCGCGAAGTGTATCCCAGGAGCGTTATTACAATGATGAGTCAGAGCACCCAAAGAGCTCGGTCGTCAGCGTACTCTACACTTGCTTTCTGGTCACATAGTGGGAGTTTAGTTCCAAAAGAAGCTGAATGCAATGAGTCAACTATACAATCTTTTCGATTGCAAAGTCAGAGGGAAGGGGATAGCTGATGCGCTTTGATTGTCAACGGAGACAGAAGACATTTCTTTGTGGACCTTCAAATGGTCCGGGAGTGTTCAAAACAGAGAGGGCTCACACTGCCTTGCCCCCGTCAAAAGTATACACGAATGGCAACACGATCAACTAAAGCAAAGGAGACAACCGTCCCCCACGTGTTTCAAGCACGTGACACTTAATGTAGTTCGTAACTACGCCAGCTTTTGAGCGATTAAAAAGTAATGGCCCGTTTAGACTTCTAACACCAACTGAACGAGCTTCTTGACCCCAGAAGTAGTACGGACACGGTGGTTCTGACTGGGAATCTGGACGCTCAAGTTGGAAAACTGTCCACTGACGAACTGCATCTCGGCAGCCAACATAGTGTAGGCCCCTGTAATGTTACCCTTGAGTGGTTACCTCATTTGTGTGAAGATGCCCGCTTATTTCTAGCGAGCATTAACTTCCGACACAGCGCCCATATGAGGGGGAATTGGTGTCCACTAGTCTTAGACCAGCCATGTGGACGCAAATCGATTACATTGCGATCAGCTACCGCTGGAGAGGCTGCGTGCAAAACTGTCGCTTGATTTGGATCACATGTGTGAACACCGACCATGCACTTGTACGTGCTGATCTGCGGGTGCGTTTAAGTGGTCGCCCTCGATGACCCTGTGAGCGCAGACACCAGCCAAGTGGCGAAGCCAGATGTTCTGTATCCGCATCGAAGTACGTTGGTATTCGGGTTGAGTAAGCGCTCAAGGAATGCAGTTGTAGGTGACTGGTCGCATGTCCACCAGACATTACTAGAGGCAGGCAAACCATCAAGTGATCATCTAATGGCCAACATGGAGATTGTCTTGATTTCAGAAAGTTTTGAATACAAATCGGTTTTGGTAGGGTTTTATTGCGGCAACCTTTCGCCCTTGACACAAGAGCTTCTTCAGGCCAAGTGAATCGGTACAAAATTGGCTTAGCTTTTTATGGGAACGTAAGGTGAAGGTTGCAAGACATAACAACGTGTCAAGCTGCATTGGACTGGGTAGTATTGGCTGTCCGCCATTTCGGACTTTGCTTTGCACCTTCGAACTGCAAAGCTTTCCCCTAAGATCGGAAGGGACCGACTCCTGCGCTGACCCTTGATGGGGATCAGCTGGAAGTCATTCCGAAGTTCAGGTACCTAGGCAGTTGTGTCAGCGCGCAGGCGGAATCAAAGATGAGGTCAGAAACCGTATAGCAGAAGCGCGAGGCGCTTTTGCAAACCTTCGCCACTTATGGCGTCGGCACGACATCACTCTCGCTCTGAAGGTAGAGTTTATAATGTAGCCATACGTTCGACTCTGCTGTACGGTTGTGAGATCTGGCCTATTAAATCGGTAGACGCAAATATGACAGTTATGCTCGACCACCAGATCGTTCGCAGTTTGGTATGTGGTAGGAACACCGTGTGAACAATAAGCGTGTTCAGTGCTTGTGTATGGCACAGGAAGAGGAAGTGAACCGCTCAGCACCGTTATCTCACGCACCAGGCTCAGATGACTGGGCCACGTGTTGCGCATGTCAACACACCGACTCCCGCGACGTGCGTTGCTTGCGCGCTAGGGGTGTGGATGGAAGAAGAGGGGAGGCCAATCGATGACTTGGTCAAGAGGAATGAAAGCCCTTATTTCGAAGTTGGCCTCGGTTGGAGCCTCTCGGCTCCCTAGATGGAGTCCGAAAGAGGATGAACACGTTTGGCTGGATACACTTGCTGACATGGCTAGGAGCCGACCTCAGTGGTGTTTGTGCTGTGTTTCTTGATCTGTCCCCCTCCAACCACGATCTCATTTCCTAGGCATAATATAACTTCTTGTTGAGGCACTACAGCTGGATGGTAGCTCTGCGGAACAATGCCCATCCCTTACTGGTAACAGCTGGCGTGACTCTGTTGCACGATTCATTTATATTCCGTTGTATTGCGGTACGATAGCTTAGGTGCTTTATACCTCTAGCTAACGTGTATAATTATGATGATGATGATGATGTATGTATTCTGTGTCGCCTTTAGGGACGAGATAACGGCTGACGTCTGCCAGTCCGAGAACACTTTGGAAGTACTTACAGGGGAATAAATCAGACACAAGTGAATTGCCAACCATCTTTTGTGTTGGGTGGGGATGTTGGGTGCCCCCCATTTTCTTCAAATGCACCAGGGTGTGCCGCATTTTATCTATGCCGGGTACGGTGACAAAAGCACCCCGAGATGGCTCCGGTGATTCAGCGGAACGTTCCTCGAAATGCTGCAACCAGTGTCCATACTGGTGAACCTGAGAGTAGACTAACAACTTCGCTATATTAGGTGTATCAATATGCGGTACTGCTTTACAAGGAGTCCGCTTTCCTACCTTTTGTAACGGTGCTCGATCTGTGCGCGCAATACTGGTTTCCGCCCTATCTTTGACCCTTTCGATGAAGCGATAATCCTATCCACCCTGTTTCCAAGTCAGACCCTATTTAGGACGAAAACTGGAAACTGGTGAGATAGTTTCTATTACTCCAAGCGACCTAATAGACGCTTCCGAGATCCACCTACAGGCTAACGAAGAAGTCTGAGAAGCAGGCTACTACCAATAGGATAGTTTTTTGTTTTATTATTCTTATTGTCAGAGTGAGTCCGGCGCACTATCCGTGCCTGAATGCGAACGCATCAGATTGTTCGTATCCTCAGAGTGCTTTTTCAACTTCTTGACATGATGTGAGACGACGGAACACGAATACTAACAAGCTACTGGGAGTGTATGTCGATGTGATTATGTTCACTGAACCTAAGTGTACCGGAACCATTTCTCACAAAATACACTGACATGGAGAGGTCTTTGTGAACCTGGTGTTGTCAGAGTGCTAGCATACGACATAACTTCAAGCAAAAGAATTCCCCATCAGACCGTGATCAAAACTGTCGTGAAGGATGGCCTAGAGAAGTAAACGAACTACATATGTGGGTGCGATACTCACAGACAACAGACACCATCCCAACGAGAATGAAAAAGGGTGGTGTGATTTGAAAGGGTCGATGGATACCAAACGGCACACACAAATATCCTCAGGGAAACCAAAAAATGGCGGGAAAAGGATATATGGGTGGCCGAGTACTAAGTAACTTTCACTAAATATTAAGGCGAAAGGTAACGATGGGACCACCTGGTTATTTTTCGTAACAGCAGTGTGCTGAATCGTAAGGGCTCACCCAAAGATAGGAACACACGAGGCGATGATGAGCACACTGAGCACAAATCTAATGATATCTAGGCGTTAGCTGATAGTAACCCTTCTTGTGTGTGTGTGTGTGTTATAAATTGAGGCGCATAGGTCTGAAGCCGCTTGAACATCGCGGATGTCGCGCACGAACACTTTTGATGTTCGTAGGCGCCGCGGTAGTGTAAATCTGTGGCGAACCCACACCGTCGATAGACGAAAAAAAGCCAAGACGCTAGCCCCTCGAATGTAACAACTTATCGGATTGAGTACTTATTGTATAGGCCGCAAAACCGTTCCTTCCAACGCTCGAAGCTCAGCACGACTGAGTGGATACTGCAGACAAACTGCCGTCGCAATGCTTAAATTTCCCTCTTAGACATCATTGCAATCCCAAACTGCGCATTCAAAATGGCAACTTTGAGTTCAAGTGATTGGACGCTTTCTTCAAGGATACAAGCGGGCAACAAAGTTCCCTGTACAAGGTTAGATAGCTTACCGTTTTCCGGTAAACATCACGTCAACAAAACGCGATCTGTCAGAACCGAAGTTCATCGACTGATCCTGCGAGGGTTAACAGTTTGGCAAGGGAAAAGGAAATAAGAAGGTGAACAATATGGAGATAGAGATGAAATACCAGGGCAAACACAATGCAATGTAGATTAGGATATACCATCGATAATGGTGAAGTGTCGGAAAGAAGTGGACTGGTCGTGAAGAATACGTCGCCTGTGACACAATGAGATATTACATCAGGATCGGATAAATGTACAAGTACTCATGACGAACTCCCGATTGGAAGTACAAGTGTTGACACTATTTAATCCGACAAGCAATCAAGTGGCCCATAGATGTCATTGACAACTTGTTGGCGACTTAACTGAGCTCAGATATATAAATTGAAAACAAAATTTCGCACGCGTATCAGTAGCCTGCCGTCAACGTACCTTAAACGGGTATCGCTCAGATAACAAAAGCAGAATTATGTTAGTGTGTGCAACAAGGTCACTTGTGCTATGTATAAATTCGAACTGCTATTTAACTATACGTGCTATAAATAAATTGTATATCCTCATCATTCGAGAGACACGCCTGTTACAGCAAGTTTAGGTAATTAAAACCATAATCTAGTGCAAAGACCACGGATGGTCGGAAAATGTACAACAGTGATATGAATCAATTTTCAATGTTGACAAGGAATAATTTTTGATTGTTGTAGCACTGTTATCTGATGATACAAGCGATGTCTGTATCTGGATCGGTAGGTCCCTTGAGAATAAGAATACGAAACGCTTAGTGTTTTTCGATAATAAGAGAGCGGCGCCTAGAAAAATGAAATGTAAAAGCAGACTGCAATGAGTTACGGGAACACCGACGATGAAGACGGAGAATGCGGAGGTATGCAGTACACTCTCTTTGGTGATAACCTTGGAAGTTAAAGCAGTTAGTTCCCCACAACAATTTGAAAATCCCCGTGAGGAAAGGAAAACCGACAGATGCATGCATTTCGTATCGTATTTTCAGTGCCGAAAATGATAACTGGAAGTGAACCACAACTCAAGGGATGCAAACGTGCAAACAAACGAAAAGATGAGAATCACGTCCTTATGTCCAAGGCAACCTGAGGCTGACCGATAGTTGCTTTTGAACGCAAAGCTCCGGTTTGATCCGGTTTATCGCAACAGCCTCAGCGAATCGGAGGAGACGGGAATTGGTATGCCGCAGCAGAACTTTGAACGACGTGCTGACCTCGATCCAGTGATCTGAGATCAATAAATGCCTGTCTTAGAATTAACAACCGTGCAAGAGGAAGAAAAAAAGGTGAAGACGGTGAGTGTAGAGGCTTTCCCACCTTAGTATTCACTTTCTGTCGTATACCTTTTCTGGATCATATGAATTCAGGACCTTGTTCGTATGCTTGGCTGATTGTTATGTGACAGCGTAATAGTTTGATCACGTTTTAGACAGATATTTGTTGGTTCTTAAGTGGAAATCGTGCTCGAGATTGCGAGCGTGTATTTCGGGTAATAATTGGTTCCAGATTCTGACATATCAGTTATGGAAAAGTTCGCGGATCTGGTGGTCTTCGACTTGCATTGCACTGCTGAATTATCCTCCTTTCGTGTGTTGCATACTGGTGTTAAGGTAGCCATCCCATCACATTCTTTGAAATCGGCCTTTCTCACAAGCAGCCCGGAACAGTTCGAACCCGACGCATCCTGAAGCTTATTATCCAGCCAATAAGAGAGAACCAACGAGAACGTTCTATCTGGAAGGTTAAAAATGAGGATGATTTACCTTGAAACCCGCCAGTGAGCGCATTGTTTCGGCAACCAACAACTCAGTTATCAGGCATCTACTGGTTGCTAAAATCCAGTAACTTTCAGCTAGGTCGTTCTCTTATTAAATATCGATCCGGCTCCACTGTTTGCTTGCCGGTTGTTCAACACAGGTATTTGCCAGACGTCTTCGTCTTCAGCTCTGGGAAGTCGGTCGGTCCGTATAATCGGCGGAAATCACCAACGGGTGAATGTACTATTGCCATGCTGAAGTTAGAAAGTTGCATTTTCTTGTGCAGGAATTGAAGGAATGTGATTCGGTTGTGCCTCATGCGCTTCAGCCAGAGCGGATCAAGTTTGAGTTACATCGTTCGAATCATTCTAATTTCGTTAAGTTACCTAATATGCGATTTGTGAAGGTTTGTTGCGCATGTTCTAATGCATTGGATACTTTTCGCTGCCAACCTATACCCCAGCTTGTGTTCGGTCGTCAACAACTCCTGTTCGCCAGACGTTGACCGGATCCGATCAGCGTCGTCCATCGCGCACGTCAAAACGGTTCTCTTATCTACTGCATATGGCAGAGTGGACAAGCGAAACATGTTCCTGCACATGATGAATGTGTTAAGTACAGTGGCATTGGCCTAACGCCGATTTCCACAAACCTAAAAGACTCAAAGCTCATCTTACGCCACAAGGCGTTCAGGAAGTCTCCGATAAACGGAAAACGCGGATTTTCCGTAAAAAAGACAAAGTTTTGTAGACGATATATTCACACCGTAATGGCTGATAGAACAGCGTCACAAATACCGCAGGCCGACAACAACTGTATTCCTAAACTTCAAGAATGCATTCGACTTATCCAATCGATTTATTCTGTCGAACACACTTGCACGGAAAGTGTTCCCATTAATTATGTGAACATTTCACGTGGCATGAACTCAAACACCTCTGATCGAGCCAGGATCTACGGTGAACTGTCAGACAACAAGTGGCGTTCATCAGGATCGTCTCATCGTCCTGCACTTCATCATGGAGTGTTCCATTACAAAACCTCGCTAGGTAGAAGTTGAGGGGCCGTTTGATAAAATACTAGTTGGTCTCGATTCTGCGGAGGATAATGTCTTGCTGTTGTTACAATCTTTAGGCGCGGCAGTCAACCCGGTAAGAGCTCTTGGAAGTGGCTCCATCAGTTGGTATGCACTCCGCACCTACAAAGTGAAAAGTATTTTTGTTCGTCGCAATCAGCCGACAATTCAGATATGTCGACCAGCTATCCGGAAAAGCACCAGACGGCCGTTTCGCCCTATTGGGGCTCAACAGTGGTGCAAAGTGTTGTTACAAGTCCACCAACAACTTGATGACCTCTTGACACTTGGTAATGAGAAACTGGAGGTAGTTGATCACTTTGTCTATCTTGACAGTTGCGTCGGTAGCGATGCACACGTGGATGCTGAAATTAGTTCACATATCACGAGAGCTAGAACCGCCTTCTGAAACCTGTAACGGTTCGAGTGGGGTCTTCCTCGCTCCGATAGGTCGTATGTACAAGAACACAGTGGGCGCCGTTGGGCCTTACGAGAATGAGATTTGGTCCCTTCAAACTGGAGGCTCTGCTGCTCCTTCCAGTGTTTGACGATCGTTACCTGCGAAACACCGCTCGTGTCAGATGACACCAGCGTGTCCACAACCATGGTGTGTGCAGGATAATGCTAGGCGGCGATAGTGACGCTAGTTCGTTGGAGCAAGAAAAATTGTTGAGTAGGTTGCGTTGATTTGGGTACGTGCTATTTTCTGTTTTGCTTACCGAATGTTGAGTGCAGCAACGTTCGGGGGGTAGTCGAAAGTTGCCTTGGCAGCGTAAATGAAGTTAGTGAGGCCTAATCTGGGTGCGGTCGTTCGGTCTCGCCTTCCAGATTGCAGTCCAAGTGACCCACCTTGTGCCTGGCTCGAGACTTCACATGGCACGACTCGCAATGAGTGACGCGTTTGCTGTTGTCATCAAGTCAGATTGTCTGTCTAAATTGTGTCTGGGGCTAAGGTATCCAGGAGGTTAAAGTCTAAGTGGGACATTGGAGTAGTGATAATCGCAAGGAAGCTGTTTCGCCCATACCGTTTTATCTTCATATGATTGCTGGCAGTTTGTGCCGTATGGTGTCGATAAGGTTTTGGCGTATTAATCCTGTATTTGTTTCTAGCGATTGGTTGCTACACCAGGTTTCCCTTCTCAGTCTTCTTCTTCTTCTTCAGTTCTTAGGTCATTGTTTATGAATGGAAGGATTCTGGTGAGTACTTTTGTTCGTCGCAATTAGCCGACAATTCAGATATGTCGACCAGCTGTCCGGAAAAGCACCAGACGGCCGTTTCGCCCTATTGGGGCTCATCAGTGGTGCGCATCCTTCGGTCCTCTGCGGAGGATCGAACCCATGACTGCTGCTGGCTCTTGCCAACTAGCCCGCAGCTTATGCAACTGCGCCATGGAGGACGGTATCTGACTATCGTGAATTGTTAGCTAAATGCGATATAGCCCGACGCATCCTCCACTGCCATGCAGGCACCTGCCATGCAGATGACAGCGGTCGGCCTTCCGGCGTCAGGACTTCCCGGTTACGGCAGCTATGAATCGACAGCTGGTCGACATATCTGAATTGTCGGCTAATTGCGACGAACAAAAGTACTTAGGTCATTGTGTTTGCACATGAGCCAAGTACCGGTTCCATTGGCTGACTTACTGCGCTTGAGGCTGCGTCGGCTGGTGGTCATACAAGGAAACCTCCCTACGTAGCACCAAAACACGACCAGCTCTGGCAACATCTGAGATGCCGTGTAGTTAGGAAGCATCCGGTATCATTTAATAATGGAGTTTACAACACCGCTACTGGTGACGTTTTGCTGAACTGATGGGCAAACAGGCTGCTTTCCTTGGATTGCATACTACGGTTTTTGATAGCATGAGGCCTCTGCGGATTGACTATATGCAATGGCATAACCGAATTTGCAAAACAGATTTGTAGGTCATGTGTTTGGCAACACGGACTCGCCGCTTAGTAATGTTACCCCATTGCACGAATAACCGTGGATTCGGCAGTGAATACAGTGGGGCATTGTACTCCAGCAAGTGTACTGATATCATGGTGAAGATTAGGTCCTCGTTTGGCGACCGACCAGACGAAAGGCGTATGAACTAAGCAATCATGCACTGGCTTACAGTAGGCGCGATCCCGAGAATACGCTCCGCTGCCTTACATGCAGACTATTTATCCAAGGATTCGGGGTGGTGTTCCC